ATTATTATGATATTTTAAGTTTATGAATTTTCAGATTTCATTGATGAATTCCTTTTCACCAAATTATATTCTTGATGTATGTTTTTTTTGTGATTGATCATCTAAGAAGGCATGCTTCTTGTTGTTTGTTGGAATAATATGTTGACTGCAATATCATCATGCTTTTTTAGCAACTAATGAATGAAGTAAGAATCATTATGGTGAATTGGTTTCTTGAATTCCTTCTCTTAAATCTAAATGGATTCTTTTACTGACCAAAAGAATAACGGGTGAACCTGCATGCACAGGACATGAGGATGCTTCAACAAACCTTATGATTTAATGAAGCAGAGAAGTGCATCCAATGTTGTTAGCTTGCAATGTCTCATGTTTGGATAATTGGATTAAAATAGGGGAAAAAGGCAAAGCACATAAATATGAAATAAAAATAACGCTTAAATATGAAATTCAAATAACATATGGCATTGATTGATTTATTTTTATTTTTTTATGGATGTCTATGTTTGGTTTCATTTTATTTAGAGTATCCACAATGCACTCCCTAAACCACCTTCTTAAACAAATTTTAGAAAGGAATTGGAAAAATACAACTCCAACCATGCTCTTTATTCATCTTCTAAAATAAGGAGATCTCTATGAGCTCCTAAATCTGAAGAGATAGAAAGGGCTCCTAATGGCTCCCTCTAATTTAATACTGCTTTGTTTTATGCATTGTTTAAACTTTTAATTAATACTAACTATTCTTTTATATTCTTTTTTTTTTATAGAGATGGACCAATCATATTGAATTAAAAAATAACTATAGTATTTATGACTCTCTAAACTATGGATGATTAAAGTTCAAATTTTATAGAGAGCTCCTAAAATAATTTTTATGTGATTTTAGCTAAATTTTAACTAAAGAACCATAATTTGACTCCACTCTACTCCCTTGCAAGAGGGGCAAAATTGTGATTTTGATGACCCATTTTAAAGTTGAGGGGGTCCAATCCCTAACTGAAGCCTTGAGCCGAAAGGTACAGTGGATTTGGGGCATGGGTGCAAGTACTTAAGCCTAGCCTCATAATTTTCCTTTCTGTAAATTAAATTAATTTAAAGTAATTTAGACTATCATTTGTATTTTAAAAAAACCATAACAAAGAAAAATCATGTTTAACTCGAGAATTCGTTCTTAACTTAATCTGGAACTATATGCAATTTCATATGATAGCAATTGCTCGTCAATTTCTCAAAACAAGTGGCTAGTTTGTGTCTTCTTGTTAACACGTTTTCTAAAGTGATGTTGACTTATGTATAATCTACAGAGGATTTTGATTAATTAGTTCTATAACATATGTTCGACTGCCAGCTGTACTTGATCTTGCCTTGCATGCGAGCTAAAAAGAATATATGACCCATAGGTGCCAAGATACATAGTTCCGAAGATTTTGGTTCACAATAAAATATATTTCTAAGACTTGGTCTACAAGCAAACGTCAAAATCTACCCCTTTGTTGGGATCTTTCCTCTCCTCTCTTCTGAACCCAATCGAGTCAAATTTATACTGGTTGAACGTGACCATCAAGTAACTGGAAATTATAAAAGGGCACGGATGGGTTTAATAATACTCAAGAAAGCAAGTTTGAAGCTACTGCTGTTTCCAAACAAAACCTCATTAATCATAAAACTCTGGTTCTGTTATTTCTTTTTTTCTGCTCTAGGAATTCTGTTGCTGTTCCTCCGATTTATATATTGCAAGTCGAAAAAACTCAATAAGCAATAAGATGGTGATCAAGGACAAAAGAGACGGTGGAGGCTCAACAGTATTGGGTTCATGGATCAGGTCGTGCTTCTTTGTCTCCTCATCAGCTGGTAAAGGTGGAAATGCAAGGAGGGAAACGTCTGTATCAACCAGTTCAGGGACAGAGGCGACCATGGTTGCCGCGGCAAAGCATTTCTCTTCAGCACACAAAGTTCGGTTCAATTAATCAAGTGATGAAATGAAAGGCTCTTTTGCTTCTTTTTTTTTTTTTTTTTTTTTTTTTTTTTTTTTGAATTTGTATGTAATTGGGGGTTCCCTACAAAGTTTGTATAAGCTGCTTTTACATGTGAATATGTATATGGTTGACCATTGCTATTTTTACCCCCATCTCTAAATTCTGTTTACAACCTAAAAATATATATAATAGATATTTACATGGGCTAAGTAGAAGAATTAGGTAAAAGGCCGATTAAGAAAGGCGAGGAGGAGACCAAGAAAAAACAGCTGTCCTAGCCAGCTTTACAATACAAAAGATGTGTTGAATTTTTTCTTCTATGGCTCCTCTCCTTTCTCCTTGCTTATCCAAAGCGACAAAACATCATAGAACTGTATCAAAATAAATCAGAAAATGGAAAATTAATAGGTGAGATATCGAATATTGTATATTAAACATACGCGCAGGACAGACTTTGAAACCAGAACTTGCCACGACCCTTCCTCCTCATACATGCAAATTTGACCCCTTTCTTGCCTTTGATCTCTTCAATATCAAAATCAGATTCATACAGGGGGATTCAAGTCAACGCTCTCCAGCTTATCCTCAAGAGCTTTGCCTATAATAATCTTGTGATGATGAGGATGATGAAGATCACACTTGGAATTGGATTTGCCGCTGCCGCATATTAGTTTTGTTGCAGTAGATGACGAGTAACTCAACAATATATAATTTTCATTTCTAGAAATCTATAAAATGGGTGCACAATCTGAAAAAAACACAAGATCTTACAAAGAAAAAGTGCCCATAAAAAAGCAGTGAAGAAAGGTAGAAACACAAGAATCAAAAGCAGGCAAATCCAAATCCAATCGATGGAGAACAGGTTTATATTGAAGAACAAAAGTTAACCTTGTTTTATTTTATAGATTACACATGACAATCGACTTGCACACCTCTCAAAACGGGAGAGTACAAGCAAACAACAGAGGTACAAAACACATATATAAAGCTGGGGTACAACTAAGTAAGTTGAAGTAATATCCATGACGGCAACGTATTTCAAAGAGACGCACACTACCGGTCCATTACTAATAACACCGATGTTGTCCACAACTATAAGCAAACCTCTCATTATATTTATTTTGTGGGTTTTCCGATGTGAGGCTTTAGATTCTTTAACAGAGGCTTTTTCGCTGAAGGTCCAGGATTGGCATTTTGGTTTCGGTCGTAGAGCAGCATGGCGACACCCCGAACAACGTCCGAGTCAACACTGCGTACTTCAACGCGTTCATTTCTGATATTATGGAGCACAACAGCCTTCTGGAATTGTGTTTGATTGGCCGGAACCCTCTGGATCTCTTCAGAGAGATCAGACCAATGGGTTTCCAGGCTCCGAATTGCAAGGCCTGGTATAATAGGATCGTAGACATCCTTCATACTATTGCGGAGTAGACCCTCAATGAACCGAAACCTTGCCGCTTCGCAGATCATCTGAATTACCACTATAAACCCTACAGCTTGGTCGGATTGGGATGGTGCCAAGCTCAACAGGTTGATGGCGTCATCTAGTTCATTGCGTCCCAGAGGTATCCGCTCAAGAATAGGTGTATCCTTATGCAGACCTGCCACTGCTGGGTTACGAGCACGATCACGTGCTATATTCCGTTTCACTGCTTCTTGCGCAGCTCGCGAAAGCCCGGTGTAGGTGCCGTCGAAGTCCAGAGGAGGCATCCGAGTGGTGTCGCGGAACAAGGTGTGGATTGGAGGCGGATTGTCAAGAGCATTTTCTTTAAGAAAGTAGGATCGGCCACCTGCAGCATAACCCACCACGTAAGCGTTCACCACATCGATTGCGAGCCTGATGGTATTGTTTCCAGAGTTTGTGAGATCGAGAAGAAGAAAGCGCTGCGCGTCCGGCACATCTTCTCTTCGAGGCAGCACCGGTATACCGTGTGATTTAGGTCGTCCGGCTGTGAGTCGTTGTCGTAGAGATTCTATGAAGTCGCGGTATTTCTGGGGGTTTGTGTTCTTAGTGGAGAAGGATAGTGCCATTTTAAGAGCAGCAAGAACAAGGCAAATATATTGAAGCTAGCTAAAACTATATATCCTTGTTATTTTTGAGAGATTAATTAGATGAGTAGCAGTGATATCGATGCATATATATATATATATAGTGAAATAATGGATCGATACGAATACCATTCTTGGTGGAAAAGTATCAGAAGCTATGCAGACGACTTCGGCTTGCTGCAGCCTTGTTGGACTTTGACTTGACCCGTTAATATAGTGCAGCCCGTGTTGAAACGCAAGCCAAGTCATCCTTATCTATATATTAGACAATAATATCGTGAAATTTAACATTAACCAATAACAACTTTAAAATATCAAATTGACGTAAAAGATGGCGTTCAAGGGGAGAAAATTATGATTTCAATGTTTTGGGTCCAAAAGTTTCAGTCAGCCCCAGCCCAGAAGATGTCTAGAGGTCGACGGCTCATTTTAAAATTTAGATAAATTATAAAGTTGTAAGGTTGAATTTACCAAATGACTTCTCTCATTATATCATGATATTTTTTTAATTTTGGGCTTGATTAGAAATCAATAAATAATTGAGTCACATTAAGTTCTTATACTAAACGAGTGGCAGGTATGATATGTTTCTCAAATTTTTAGCTCGATCTGAAATCAATCACACTCAATCTTTTAAAAAGAATACAGAAGAAGGCCTCTTATGAACTTCCTAGTCCATGAGAAAAAAAATAATATGTTGCTAATAGTTTTAACGGAAAAGTTCGTTCTGAACTTAATCAAATAGATTCATTCATTCAGACTTCTTCTTTCATTAACAAAGACTATTCAATTCACTGAAGACGTGTGTTTGTCGCTTGTGTCTATTTTTGTCACGCGTTGGTAGTTTGTTTTCAAAAAGTAATGTTGACTTGTGTACAATCTCCTGAGACTTGGATTATGTCTACATGACTGCCAGAGCTTGATTAGAAGAATTAGGGAAATGCGGTGATTAAGAAAGGGCAGGAAGAGTCCAAATGGAAAACAATCACAAAAGGTGGAGATCCATTAAACATTACTGCACAATGTCAAAAAAGACAACAAGTCCTAGCCAGCTATACAATCTTTACACAAGAGATGAGATGTCGGATTTTTCCCTCTATGTCTCCTGCCCTTTCTCCTTGCATTTCCAAAACGACAAAACATCATAGAACTGTTTCCAAACGAATTAAAACAAAACAATATTTAATTGGGAAGGTAATCACAACATGAAATTATCAACTGAGACAACGAATATATTTGTATATTATTAAACACACGCATACCGATTGAGGCTCTCTCTTCTTGCTCGGGGCAGGCTTTGAAACCACAACTTGCCATGAGCCTTCCTTCTGGTAAGTGCGAATACGACCCGTCCCTTCCTTGACCCTTCTTTCGCAGTTGATCTCTTGATGATCTTCTTCAATATCAAAATCAGATTCATAGAGACATGGAAGCTCAGAGGGATCCAAGTCAACGCTCTCCTGCTTATCCTCAAGAGACTTGGCTATTAACTCATTATCATTATTATTAATCTTGTGATTATAATCACACTCGAAATGGGATGTGCTGCTTCTGCTGCCTATAAATTTTGTTGCAGTGCATGACAAGTAATTGAAGAATATTTTCGTTTCTAGAAATCTAAATTGCGGGCACAATCTGAAAAAACACAAGATCTTACAAAGAAAAAGTGCCCATAGAAAAGAAGTGAAGAAGGGTAGAAGCACAAGGATCAAAAAGGGGATGCAAACTATGAGGAAGATGGAGACAGCAACACAGGCGCATGCCTTTGCCCACAACTTCACCACTTGTTGAAACAAGAAGATTATGGAGGAGATTAAATATTTATTCTCTGAAACCACACGAGGCATTGAAACTAATGATTTGGAAGTTTAAACACAATTTTCCAGTGAAAATATTAAACGTTAAAAAAGTGTTAATTTGTGTTTAGAGGGCCATGAAACTAGGAAGAAATCCAATCGATCAAGTCGAGATTATGTTGAAGAACAGAAAGATCATATATTCGTTTGTTCATTCATTCATCCACCATTGCGAAGCTAATCTTAATTAGCTCGAGAGGGGCATGCACCGGTAGATGCGTGCCACGTGGCGGGATGAGTGGGGACTCGTGCCTCCAGGTGTCACTAGAATGCAGGCTCCATCTTTTATGTGAACCAATCTGGGAAGAAGATGAGGTTTCTGAGTGATTGAGGTAATATAATAGCGCAGCATAGGAATTAGGAAATTAGGAGCAAAATGCAAAGCAAAGAACGTAGGAACGTACGTGGGTGTAGTTTATGGGAATATATGTAGGCACATAGCAAGCACGTCCTTTCGTTTCTTATGGCCTCTTCTCAATCTCCATGGCACTTCCATGGATGACGGAGATCCACCAATTGCACTTCCACGGAGCTTCTATAAATGTTGAGGATTGTAATGAGAAGGACGGCTATTAAGGAATTCCTCATTATAACAGGAACATATAAAAATTTCTCCTCATTAAAACCATCATCATTCTAATCTCCCTGTGAAAAGTGAGGCTTGGCCCGAAGCCCAAACAGTAAAAAAACTACACAAGAATATCGAACCCAATGAGTACAAATTAAGGCCTGTTGCTAACAGTAGAGGAAGTCGTTTGCAAGAGAATTGAGCAGCCCAAATCATCATATCCTTATATTCTCCTGAAAACAGAAAACACAGCACATATACTTGTTAAATTCAACATTAGTCGTTCACATGAGTAACAACGAATTAAATAATCATTATTATATATAAAAAAAGGTAATTTTAGACCACGTTTAGGTATAAGATTGAATTGAATTAATAACTCATTAGGTTAATGGCAAGTTGAAACAAGATACTAACTGATGTGGTAGTATTTCGTTTGTGGATTCATTTTACATCTAATTTATTTACAAATTATATAAATTTAGTGTACTAAGTTTATATATTTAATATTATTGTAGTAGAAAATCACCATATATATATATATATATTCTGTTCTGTGGAAGTATTTATTTATTCATTTTTCTTAAACAACACATGTGAATTGTTAGTCGTTCATTACATCGTTGGCAATAATACCCCAAAAAGAAAAAGAAAAAAGAAACGCGAATTAAGTGACCTCACGGGAAGCACGTGAGGCCACCCACATGGTAGTCTCACTCCATCAAGTTCGCGCAGACGAGTCATGGTGACACACACAGGTCACAAGGAAGAGAGCCCAAACAGAAACAGCAGTGTAAGCTGCTGCTGCTGCTGCTGCCTTAATTAAACGTACACAGGTGCTGCCTTGCTCATGCTCAGTCGGAAAAACAACAAATACACCCAAACTCAAATTCCTCATCCAACTTCAATTCTCAATCAACCATCCAAAAAGCACACTCTCAGTCTCCTCAAATCTCCAATTGCACCTTTGGGTGTTGACATTTCTGAGATTTTCTTCTTATCTGGGGTACTTTTCAGATTCGTGCAGAAAATCTTGGAATATAAATCCAGGCCCATCTCAATTCACATAGAAGGAGGATGAGAACCGCAGCCAAAGGCAATCAGGAGGAGGATGACTACGACGACGAGGAATTTGGCTCCAGAAAAGAGGGCCCTTCTTCCAATTCCAACAGCAAAGGTGACCTTTTTATCTTTACCCACCTTCTTTTTACACATGGGTATTTCGTATTTGTAGATCCATCGATATGTTTTTAAGCTTTACTGCTTTGGCAATTGTAATTCGGCACAAAAGATTTCATCTTCATATGTTTTGAGAGGACAACGATAAGGCTAGTTTGTAATTTGAAATTCGGAATTTGGATCATGCAAACCAGATGCCAAGAACAACGATAAGGCTAGTGCTATACGATCGAAACATTCAGTCACGGAGCAGCGAAGGAGGAGCAAGATCAACGAGAGGTATGCTTTATTTGCATTTGCTTTCCATCAAATTCTCATTTGAAATTTACTCTGGCCAAGGGGTAATTGCTTCGAAACAGAAAGGGCGGGGCCGGCGGTATATTCATAGATCATTGCGCACTTCTCATCTTTCAACAATTAGTTGGTGTTATTAGTTAGGAAGTGTTTCTGATGTTTGTACGGATGGTAATTCTGCTTAGCGGATGATGCCAATTTAACCATTTACTTGTTTTCCTGTGATTATAAATGTTTTTGTTTAACAAGTCAATTGCTTGAGTGGTTCATGTTCTAAAAAGTAGATAAAGTTTGAAGCTTGCATGGTTTTCTTTTATTCAAGGGGGAATTCATCCATTTGTTGTGGAGTGTTGACATGCCACATGGTGGTTACATCATGGATGTTGAAGTTCTGATGTTAAGAATTGGTAGTGCAGGGTATGAGTTGCTTTAACAAGAAATGTATGATTGATTGTCAATAGAGCTTGAGGGAGCTTAATCTTTTTCTTACAGATTCCAGATATTGAGAGATTTAATACCCCATAGTGATCAAAAAAGAGATACGGCATCAT